GCCCTGACGCTCCCGCTGCAGAGCTCCTCGGCGTCCACAAACACCGAGTCGTCTTCGTCGTCTTCCACATCGTCCAACAGGCAGTCATCGTCCGTTTCCACCAGGTCCTTAGGCGGGAGCAGAGGTCCCTGCAGCTCACGCAGGCACTGGCTCCACCTGGCCATGCTTCTCCCGAACCCAACCCGAGCAACTCCGGAAAACCCGGGCTGATAGCCCCGCCACGACCAGGCAACCAGCTCGGCCGCCCTGTGACCGTCACTTCCGGGGACGCGCTGCACCGCGGCCCTGCTCCAATGCTTCGGGGTCGGGCCGGTGGCGTCATGGAGGCGGGGCGGGGCAACGTGGGGGCGGGGCAAAGTGGGGTGAGAGGACGCGCGAGGCGCCGGCGCTGCAGCTCTGGGAGCTGCTACAGAGGTGCCGTCCGCCTCATCTGCGGAGAGCGACTACGTCTGCATAGAAAGCTCTGAGAAGGCGGCCTCCCCACGTACCCCGAGGTGCAGGCGGCGTCTCCCATTGGAAGACTCTGGCCGAGATGACCTGGGCCTCTGCGCCCCGGCTGGAAAGAGCCTCAGAGGGGTCGCACCGGCTGCACCTACGGGCTCATTCTCGGTGCGCGTCCCTGGGCCCTTTTCAGAGCCACTAAGTTGGGATGTAGGGTGGGACTCAGACTTCTGTCTTTTAAATGCACTTCCCAGGCTGTCCATCCTGATGCTCAGCTGGTTCCGAAGCTGGATCAGACAGCCGTGGAAGCTCTGCTCCCCGAACTTTAGGCTGGGCTGCTGCCAGCTGGGCAAGAATCCAGTGGGTGGTTAATGGGTGCAGAAATATGGTTAGGTAGAGGGAATGAACGATATTTGATAGCACAACAAAGTGACTGCCATCAACAATAAGTTAGGGTATCATTTAAAATCGTGCTTATAGAGGTGGCGACTGTAGCTCAAGCAGCTAAGGCGCCAGCCACATACACCAGAGCTAGCAGGTTCCCTGCCAAACAACAATGACAAGTACAACCAAAAAATAGCTGGATGGTGTGGCAGGCGCCTGTAGTCCCAGCTACTTGGGAGGCTGAGGTGAGAGAATCGCTTAAGCCAGAAGTTTGAGGTTGCTGTGAGTTGTGACGCCGCAGCACTCTCCCCTGGGTGACAGCTTGAGACTCTTTCTAAAAAAAAATTTAATTAAAAATACACAAATAAATAAAATCATGCTTATAGCAAAGAGATGATAAATGCCTGATTCTATTAATTCACATATGCCTCCATCAAGACATGACATGTACCCTATAAAGATATACAACCATATATGCCCATAATAATTCTTTTTGAGACAGTCGCACTACCTCACCTTCTGTAGAGTGCGGTGGCGTCAGCTTACAGCAACCTCAAACTCCAGGGCTCAAGCAATTCTTTTGCCTCAGTCTCTGGAGTAGCTGGGACTATAGGCACCCATCACAGCACCCAACTAGTTTTTTGAGGGACAGCTTTTTTTTAAGAGACAGAGTTTCACTTTGTCGTCCTAAGTAGAGTGCTGTGGCATCACAGCTCATAGCAACCTCCAGCTCTTGGGCTTAGGCAATTCTTTTGCCTCAGCCTCCAGAGTAGCTGGGACTACAGATGCTTGCCACAACACCCAGCTATTTTTTTGTTGCAGTTTGGCCAGGGCCAGGTTCAAACCCACCACCCTTGTTATATGGGGTCGCTGCCCTACTCACTGAGCCACAGGCACCACCCTGAGGGACACGTCTTTTCAGATGGTCTGGAACTCCTGAGCTACAGTGATCCACCTGCCTCAGCCACCCACAGTGCTGGGATTACAGGCTTGAGCCACCATGCCTTACCCATAATAATTTTTTTAATTAAGAAAAAATAGGCCAGCCCAGAGGCTCACCCCTGTAATCCTAGCTTTCTGGGAGGCCAAGGCCAGTGGATTGCTTGGGTTTACAGGGTTGGGACCTCCCTAAGCCAGAGCAAGACCCTGTCTCTAAAACTAGCCTGGTATTGTGGGATGCCACGGCACTCTACCCAGGGTGACAGAGTGAGACTGTTACAAAAAAAAAAGAAAAAATTCTGGAACTATGGTTCTCTTTATGGGTATAGTATATGAAAGTTAAGGAACATCATAAAATGTATTACATTATTATATTGCTACTGTTTTTTGTGTAATTATTAATAATAAACTGGCAGGGTGTGGTGGTGTGTGCCTGTAATCCTGGCTTCCTGGAGGCTGAGGCAGGAGGGTTTGAGCCCAGAAGTTCAAGATTCAATGAGCTATGATCAAAGTGTTGCAGGAAGATAAGGCCCAATGGAGAGAAGGAATACCCAAACACCGTATATAAGAGGGAAAAGGCTTTATTCAGCCAGCAGAGCTATGGCAAATCTAAAAATCTCAAAATGGCTGTGCTCTCTGTTGGCCTGGTCTTTACCTTTTTATCTCTAGCCAGAAAGTTCCAAACCATGGTTACTTTCTCATTGGTCAGTTTGAATCAAGCTGGAGAAGCTATTCCAGCCTCCACAGAACTACAGGATTTAACACAAGTAGAAATTTCCAGGTCCCAGGAAATTAAGTTTCTACAAATTCCTAAGAGCTGAGTCCCCATGGGGAGGATCCCACAGGTGTATCCTTGGGGTCTCCTTGAGAAGACCTCTGTTCTCCTAGACTTCACCCTTCTGGGGTATCCTCTGTCATCACTGCACTCCAGTCTGGAGACAGACTCTGTCTCTAGCAATAACAAACCAAAAGTAACTAAGCATACACTGTTTACTAATTCCAAAAGCATCTTATGCTGGATTCTAATATACATAAACAGCCAGCACTAAATACCTTTATTTAAGAAAAATTTATGGGCTCAGCGCCTGTGGCTCAAGTGGCTAAGGTGCCAGCCACATACACCCAAGGTGGCTGGGTTCGAATCCAGCCTGGGCCTGCCAAACAACAACGACAGCTGCAACCAAAAAATAGCTGAGCGTTGTGGCGGGCGCCTGTGGTCCCAGCTACTTGGGAGGCAGAGGCAGGAGACTTGCTTGAGCCCAGGAGTTTGAGGTTGCTGTGAGCTGTGATGCTACAGCACTCTATCCAGGGGGGACAGCTTGAGGCTCTGTCTCCAAAAAAAAAAGAAAAATTTATGGTAGAAAATACTAAAATTGACTTTTTTCCTTTGGGATACAAATTGAGGAATGTCCACTTTTGTTGCTTTCAAAATAAAAACATTGTTGCAGCTAACTGTAGGCGACAGCCCCCCCACAGCCTGTGGGTGTCCCCAGTGTTTGGTAGTGACCATAGGATGTAAGATATGAAGAGGAGAGACAAGACGGGGTGAGAAAGAGTGGGCCCAGAGGACCATCGCCACCTACCTCCTGGGTTAGCTGGGAATTTATTACCTACATTATCTGCAAATTAGCGAATGAATAGTCACAAAAGAAGAAAAAAACATTCTGCATCATCATTCTTGGGCTACTTACAATTTCAGCTAAGCTACATTTTAACTAACTTTTGAAACTTCTCCACCTTCAGCTATTTTATAATCTAAGGAACTAGGAACAAGACTTAGAAGCAGGATGGGGAGCCAACAGCAGATTGACCACGCACAGTTTTCACAGGAGGCAGTTAAGTCTCCGAGTCCCTGCGGAGCAGACAGGCTGAAGCCACACCCTCATCGGGAGCAGGGGAGAAAGAAGTTGTTCTTATCTCAACCCCAAGAGATCTTTTCTCTTTTATTGAGAGCGTGAAGCACGTGCCGCTCCCAGCACTCCTTGCAACCTCATTTGCCCCTGGAGACTTTTGTGCAGGCTCTCTGTGGGGGCCAGTCAGGCCTCAGCAAGACATTTCTTGTCCATTATTCCAAGACCTGTGCTGTGGTGTTCAACGGCCTTCTGGGGCTCCTGATACACATTGTGGTCTCCTCGCATATGTATTGTCTTCAGTATCCACATCTTCTATCTTTCCTCTAATTTTCATCTTCTAACTAATTCTTATCAGCAAAAACATTTCATAGAAATCCAATTTATGTAAGTGCTTCAAAAGCGTGCCCCCTGCTGCCTCAGCTCCCTCCACCTTGTTCTCCCACATTTCCACCCACATTAACAGAACACCATTTTTTTCCAGGGATTGTCTATGTGAGGTTGAATTCCTTCCTCAACATTGAATCTGCTCTCAAGTGTCACACTATACTATTCTCTTTGTTGCTGGAGCAGCCTTTGTTTCGCCTGACCTCTCAGCTGTATTTGACACTGATAACCATTTTCTTCTTATAACTATCGGGATGAGAGAGAAGCAAGCCTACCATTTTGGTATAATTCCTTTTCCTGAGAATCCATGGAAGGCAAAACAGGCCTGATTCCATTCTGTTGTTTTGCTACATTTTATTTATTGCTTAAAAAAAAAAAAAGACTGTTCTGCTTGCCTTCCCACCCATTGCATGGTATTTTAGGTCTACCTGGTTAGAACAGTTAGAATTATTAGTCTTATGTAGAAAGCCACTATTTTTGCGACAACAACCCTCGTGGTTATGTTAAGGTGGTCTTCATGCCATCTGTATATGATATGGAAATGCTAAAAGAGCAAGTGTGACTCCAGTTTACTGTTTACTCCTTTTCTGTCACACTCCATTACCTTCAAAAGTGGTTCCTCTCCTTTGCCCTCCCATTGTGTAACTGTGAATGCATTCACCTGGGATTGTTAGTGGTGTAGGTTCCTGACTGCACTCGTGATTATCTCCTTTGTGATTATCGCTTTTAATGATCATGTTGTTTACGACCCTCACCTGCCAGTCGAGTCCCCCTTCCTACACTACCTTAGAACATTGGAGATTGTATTTGTTTTCTTTTCTTTTCTTTTCTTTTTTTTTTTTTTGA